CAGTAATCACTTTTCAACCTTTTGTAAATATTCAAAATCTCCAAAGAGATTGAAGAAAAAAGAAATAGAGAAACTGTCATCCCACTACAGGAAAGGAGGCCATGGGAAACCTACTGGCCCAAGTGACTTGGTCCTGGGAGAACCCCTTGTTACAGTGGATGAAGGGGCCGTCTCTGAGTCCTGAGGGCAGGAGCAGCCTTCCCAAATGGACCCCTCTCTGAAAGAGTCTTTGTCCAACCTCTCCAACCAAAAGAACTGTTGAGGATCAGAGAGGGCAAGAGAGTGGCCCAACGTCACACAGCACAACCAGGCCAAAAGGGTAGTTTCCTCACTCCTGGCCCAGTAGCGTCTTCCCTGTATCATGCTACCTCCCACCACTGTGCAGGAGCCACTCCTGCTGGGAAAATAAGGGTATAATACCCCACCTGTTTATCTTCCTCCTCTTCTGCTGACAGTCCTTCCTTCACTCATTTTCTGAGTGCCCTGCTCAAGAATTCAAGAGGACTAAGGCATGCTGCTTATCCGGGAGGTGCTCGCAGTTGAGTGGTTTGGAGGCTTCAGGCTTCTACTGCTAACAAAGACATATTTTTCTAACTGGTAGAAAAATGCTCTGAGGCTATTTTTTTTTTTTACTGCACTGTTTTGTTTGCTGCTGTCTTAATTGTTGCCATGTTATATTTTTATCAGTTTAATGTTTTAATTTTGTGCTTGGGCCCCGAGGCAATTCAGTGAAGGGTATGATTTGGAAAATCAAGGAAATAAAGAAATCGTCCACAGAAGAGGCAGCCTCCCAGGAGCCGAGGACAAACCATAAGTGCCTTAAATGAATTTTATTAGGAACAAAACAAAACAAAAACAAACAACCTGTTGGCAGACAGAAGGTATTAGACCATCCCGGTTTGGTTTGGGTTTTGTTTGTTAATTTAATACCAGTTCTCCATTTCTTCCAAGGTCAGTCAAGGACGCAGCCCCCAGTTCCTTCTCTTACTGCCTTCTAGAAGCCTTCCACATTTCTGCTTCCAAACCTATACTCTCAGTGTGTGCCAGCCTGTTCTGCCCTCTTTTCTTCAGGAGACGAGCTGTAACCGCCCTTGCATTTGCCAATATTTATTGATTGGGGTGCAGCCAACAAGACAATCCGGAGTCTGCCTTCAGGGAATTTGCTAAGGCATGTATTCTACTGAGGTGATAATGCTCTCGAAGGGGTGAAATTGGTTCTTGGAAAGGTGGAAAATACCTTTGACCTTCCAATGTTTTGTATGCTCATCCCCCTGTTCACTGCCTCAGTGAGCGGTCCATCCATCCATCCAGTCACTAACCTGGGCATCACAATCGATTAAGTTGCCAACCCTCTCCGAGCTCAGGCTCCTGGTTACCAGACTCGTGGTGGACCAGTGCATAAAGGCTTCCTCTGTCTTCCTGAAAATTGACCCCACTAAGTACTTTGCCCCTGCCTACATCTGGGTAGATGAGCCATGAAGGCAGAAATCATTCTGCAGGACAGGACAGGACACACATAAATTAATGACCGCTACCTTCAACTAGGATGACAACACTATCAGGCAAATGGGGCTTTTGTGGGCAAGTTTGCTCCTCAACTCTCGGAATGTTCACTGCTCTCTTCCCTTCAAACTCCTCCCCACCTCTTCCTCACTCTCAGTAGAAGACCTTGCCTCCCACTTTGCAGAAAAAATAGAAGCTCAAGATGAAATCTCCCTTAACATCCCACTGCAAACCTACATCTATATCTGTATCCGTCCTTCCTTTGTTCCTTCTTTTGGTTCTGGAGAAGTCATCCCTGCTCCTCTCCCAGACCAACCCCTCCACCTACACGCCTGATCCCATCCCCTTGCATGTGCTCGTGAACATCACTGGCTGATGATCTCCCCTGTTTCCTACACCTTCATTAATCTCTCTCCCCTTGATCTGCCATCAGCCTTTAAACACACTCTGGCTTCTTCCACCTCATAACACACCTCCCCCAACACACACGGAACCTGTCACAGCAGCTCCCTCCTCCCCTTCTCATAAAAACCTCTCAAAAGACCCACTTTCTCCCTCAGCCCTCCTTTACGCATCAGACCACTGCCATCTGAACCGCTCCATCATTCCACAGCAGTAGCACTCCCTAAAGCCACCAGCTATCCCCGTGCCTGTCGTTAAACCAAAGCCTCATCCTGTCCAACGTCTCAGAGCATTCTCCACGGACTCTTCCCACTTGCCTGAAACTCTTCTCTTGCCTTCCTCCCCTCCACCCACTTCCCTGGGTTTTCTCCTCTCTGTCTGTCTGCTCCTTCTCTGCCTTTGCAGGCATACCTTCCTTTGTACAGCCCTAAGCTCTGAGTGTACCTCGGAGAGCCATCATAGGCCACCTTCTTTTCTCTCTTCACGTTCTTGCCCCTGGGCAATTCTTCTGCCTTCATCCACAGTCTCAATGATCATCTCTCTACTGACAACCTCACATTTCCAAGTGAGTCCAAACCCAGGCTTCCCAGTGCCTTCTCAACTGCACTTGGTGTCTCAAAGGCATTTCAACTTCAACATGTCTAAAATAGAACTTGCACTTTTCATAGCCCCCTGCACACCCTCCCCTCTTGCTCACCCTTCCCCTCAACCCCAGTCCTCCCCAGTTTTTGTTATCTCAATGAAAGTCACACTGCCTACATGCTTGCACAGAGACCTCAGAGTCCATTCTGACACTTCCTCTCCTTTAACCTCCATTCCAATACATCTCTATGCCGGTTTTACTTCCTGATAACTGTGGAGCCTTCTACCACTCTCCACTTCTACTGCCACCAGCACCACCCCCATTCTATTCTCCCTGGATTCCTGCCTGCATTCCTAAACCTAACTTGTCTTTACGCATCTACTCATACACACACTACTCCACTCTCCACTGGGCATTCTTGCAGGTCATATTAAAATTCAAATGTTACCCTGTCCCGCTCAGGCCTACACTGTCAGTAGCACTCTTAGGATGAAGAGAAAGATCCTTAATGTGGAATCTACCTTCTGCCCACCTTCTATACTCCCCAACTCCACTGCTCTCTCTCTCTGGGCCTTGTTATAAAGGACTTGACCTGCCTGCCTCTTCTCTCAGCTGTACCTTCTGCCTCAGGCCATTTACACAGGCTCCTCCCTCTGTCCAATATTCCCCCGCTACTTCCCCTTAACATAGTTAAGATTCATGAACACCACTTCCTCAGAAAATCCTCTAATGCCCAAAAAGAGATAGATCCCTCCTTCCTGTTAAATAATGGCTTCCTAGTTTCACAATAATGGCTAACATACGTACACACACAGCACTATTGTTAGCAGCTCTTCTGAGCATTTCTGCTTAGAGTTCATTTACTCCTCATGACAACCTTATGAGGTAGAAATTATAATTATCTCTATTTTACAGATGGAGAAACTGAGGCACAGAGAAGTTATATAATTGCCCGAGGTTACATAGTTAATAAGAGGCTAAGCCAGAATTTGAACCCTGGCAGTGCAACTCCAGGATAGCTTTTAAACACTCTAATAAATACTATCCTTTTCCTTTCTGCACTTATTCACTGTAACAATGGATTGGTATAACTATTTGTTTAGCATGTGTCTCCCCTATTAGATCATAAGCTCTATTGGGGTAGAGACTGTTTCATCTCCAGTAAATATTTGCTAAATGGCTGGATGTAGATTAGTCTCCTCTTTCTTCTTCATTCACTGCACTCAGTCCCATAGTCCTGTCCCTGTTTCTTCTTGGAGCATTTCTAACCCTAGGAGATTATGTGCTTATCAGGTATGTGCTTATCTACATCCTGATATTTGATGGAAAATGTTACATGTCTGTACACATTCAAAGTTTTCTAGATCAAAGGCTAGGTGGTTCAGGCCATCTTCAGATTCTCAACTGGTCCATGAAGCTAAGAGCAGCTCATTCAAATATTCCCCAACCTAGCTCATCCTCTCCCTGACAACCTCCTCTCAACAACTACAGCAGCTTCCAGGTTGTTTTTTTTCTCTGCAAACCGTCCTCCACGCTTGGGTCATAGCAATCTTTTAAAAACACCAACACAGGCCACCCTCCTGCATAACACCAGTCAGAAGAGGCTATCTACTGCTTTTGGAGTAAAGTGCAAACTCTGCTGGGGGGCAGGGGAGTGCCGTAGGCCTATCTACTTCTCCATCCCCTTGTGTCCTCCCTTGTTCCCTCTCCTCCCACCAACTCTACAGCCCAACAGCACAGATTGGGTTCTATGTTTGGGTTTGCCAACCTACACCAACGTATCTATGGCTTCTCCTGTCTGTACTCAGGTAGTGCCCTCTGCCTGTGATACCAGTTCTTTCCTCTGCACCCGGAAATTCCTACTCCAACTTCAAGCCTTGTCTTAGATGTCTCTGTAGGGTTAGGTGCCCCTCATCCCTGCTCCCATAGGCTCTGCCTTTCCCCAACAATGCACATTAGGCATTGAATCATAGTTGCTTGGTTTACCGTGTCTCTTGTCCCTGTGAGTTTTGAGGTCCCTGTGAGTCTTATTTGTCTTTTTATCCCCCCCCCCATCCTACTAGCCATGCGCTAGCTCAAGGTACTGTGCTCAGTAACGATTTGTTCAGTGAATTAATGATAATGACAACTAGTTTCTGGTTCATGGGTCCTGAAAAAGTGTGAAAAGAATAAATGGGTGGGTAACTGGAAGTCCGAGTCTAGAAAGAGGTGCAGATTAAGATGTTCAGAGATGAATAAAACTAGATAGTAGCCATCAGGGAGCTAACATGGAAGACCAACCCCTTCAAGGAGCAAGTCTGAAGCATTTAGAGGGACTCAAACTTTTCAAGGCCGGCCTAGGGGGCGGGTCCATGTCTAAACACGCCCCCCACCAATAGGAGGCCTCGTTGTCCTCCGAGCTTCCGCCCCTTTCTCCCGCCGGGGCCGGGCCACCACTCCAGGCGATTAGACTCTATTTCCCGGTGTGCCTCGCGGCCCGGCGAAAGAGGAGCCGGAAGTGTGGCGCTCGAGGTCTAAGGGCACAAGGGAAGTGGCGGGCGGGGACTGAAGTGGGGCGTGCAGGTGAACCGTTCGGCCGCAGGTCGTGGGCATGGCTGAGGCCAGGAAGCGGCGGGAGCTGCTTCCCCTGATCTACCAGCATCTGCTGCAGGCGGGCTTTGTGCGCGCGGCGCGGGAAGTGAAGGAGCAAAGCGGTCAGGTAAGTGTGCGCAGGCCGTGTGCGAGGGCCGCGTGTAATGTCTGGAGAGCTGTGGCCCGCGCCCCCTCCCCTGGTGGCCTGGTGGGAGCCCAGAGCCGGATCCCGCGGTGCTCGGGGACGCGGCCAGGGGTGCCGAAAGAGCCGCAGCCTCTGTCCCCCGCTGTGGCTCCCAGCCCCTCTGGGCCTCAGTTTCCCCATCTATGCAGTGGGCGTGCCAGCACATGTAATCAGACGCGCAGGACTTTGTAATTCCCGCGTCCGGTACCTCCACCCTCTTCCTGGTTAGCAGCGATTTAAAGTTTCCTGGGTCCCGGGCCACGTGGCTCGGCGCGGCCCCCTAGGATGAGACTGTAGCTGCGAGTCTGAGGCGTGGATTGCCACCAGCCCCAGGGGGCGAAGGAGAATGCCAAGAGAAGGGGTCTGTGGCGCCTGAATTGAGCTGGAGTTTGGGCCCTCTGTAGGCCTTGTGTACTGAGCCGGACAGCTTTGGGATGCGAACTCGTGGTGTAGTCATGTCTTCATTCTTTCAGCTACTTAATCTGGCGCTCAGGGTGCTGGTGTTAAAATGGTGAGCACGGCCCCCCGGCCATTCTAGAGCTTACAGTCCAAACCTAGTAGAAGAGTCTATAGACATAAATCGAAGAATCACAAAAGTAACTGTGCACTTAACACTACAGCAAGTGGCAAGAATGAGAGGCATAGAGCCCTGAGACAGGGGTGGCAGGTTGCCCTTGTGAGGGACATCCAGGACTTTTCCTGAGGAAGTGGGTGTTGATTTGAGATCTGAGAGAAGGGAGGTGGATATTCCAGGCAGAGATGCAAATGCCCTTTGGTGGGAGAGCACTTGTTACATAGGTCTTGGCCTTGGGAAAGTACATTATGACTGAAACGTGGAGTACAAGGGTGATAGAGGTCCCTGGGAGGTGGGGTGCTGGCTGGAGCCCCGTTGTAGGCAGTTTGGTCTTAATCTGAAGACCGGTGAAGAGGTTTAAGCTGGTGAAGTGATTACTTGATTAGTCATCTATTACCTGGTTAGTCATATCCCTTTGACGATAGTGGAAGCTCTAGTCCTGATGCTTGCTTGCTCTCAGAACCTCCTGGAAGAGACTAAAGGGTAATGGGCCCTAAGACATTATCTACGCGTTTTCTAACCCTCTCTGGACCTCGATTGCCCTTGTTACTCCACTTACATCACTTAGTAGCTAAGGAGGACAAACGACAGCACCTGTCTTCATTGGGGCATTTGCCTAGGCAAAAGTATCCTGCCCCCGTGCAGCATACATTCTAGCAGGAGCAGACAAGTGACAAATATAAAAAAAAAAGTTAATGATATAGGGTGTTGTTGGATGATGATAGGTGCTAGCTATAAAAATAAAACAGACAAGAGGGATAGGCACGTCAAAATCCGATTAAAAATAGGGTGGTCAGGAAGCCCCACGGAGAAGGTGACATTTGGGAAGAGACCTGAAGGACAGAAGTGAGTGTGAGTAGTGTAGTTAGCAGGAGAGAGCATTCCAGGCAGAAAGAATAGCAAGCCCTGATGGGGGCAAAGTGGCCTGACACATTTGAGGGACGGTGAGACCCGTGTGCCCAGGATGGAGTAGAGTGACACTGGTACTTGAAGTCTCAGTGTTACTGGCTCACTCTGCTGAGCACTGACTAGATTATCTCATTCTGGCCTGATAGCCACCTGCTAGGGGTGGTATGTCATAAAGAAGGAACTTGAGTTTTAAAGAGATGAAGAGATTAGCCCAGCCAGTTAACAGGAGCTCTGCAAGATTCTGTGTGCACCCTCTTGGCTACTCTACCCAAGTCCCCAACACCCTCTGCTCATTCAACCTCATTGGGGCACTTGACACCCGGGTTCTTGACATTTGCAGAGACATTGGGCCCTCTGGCCTTGGCTCCAAAGGCCTGGGTTCCACCTGGTTCCCTCTGCTTCTCCCAAGTGGATGGATGAGTGGACTGTGGTCATGCCACCTGGATGCGTCAGGTGTCTGGGCTGTGGTTCATACTGTCCCGGGGAGATTGACCAGCCTGATCTTTAAAAGCCTTTTGAAAGGTCAGGGGTAGAAAAAGCCCTGTCTTGTGGCCTCCAAGCATGGAGAGTGCCAGGGAGCCTGGGGGCTGGATAAATGCTAGCCTGGAACATTCTAGCTCCAGTCTCTCAAAGGCACCTCTCACCAGCATGTTGTCTTAAAAGGTTTTAGCTGGAAATACTTGCCTTACTTGTCTCTGGAAGGTTTGGGTGGTACTGGCAGGGCCAAGCAGACATATTTCCCAAAGCAAAATAACCCCTTCTCAACCACCTATCTGTGCAAATCTTGAGGTTGTGGAGCGTTGGGCCCAAGGAGGACCCTTGCTGTGCTGGGGGATTAATTGCTGCTCTCTTTTTACTTCCCTGCAGAAAAGTTTCCCACCTCAGCCTGTAACCCTTCTGGACATCTATACGCACTGGCAACAGTAAGTCTGACGGGGCTGAAGGATTAGAGTAGGGACACCCCAAGCTATTAGCTTGGACTAAGCTAGGATACTAATCTGGTCTAAGATCTGTCCCCATAGCCCACTGTGGACACCATTATTGCCCACAGGAAGCCGGATTGTTTGTGTGGGTGTCTGGTAGTGGAAGGGGACATTGAGAGCTGTGATCAATATTAAATAACAATAAGGACAAAAGCTTCTCGGCAGTTTGTTATTCAGTCAACAAACATTAAGCTCTTATTGAATGCCAGGCCCTGTTCTAAGCATGGGGGGTGTCATGAGTGAGACACACATGGTTCCTTCTTTCCTGTAATTGACATTGGAGTCAGGGAAGTGGGCATGCATCAAAGAATGAAACGAATGTTAAATTACAATGGTAGTTAAGGATTACAAAAAGAAGGTAACTGGTGCCAAAACCACATAAACCTCATTTAGGGTTTTAGGGGAAGCCTCCCTTAGGTGACCTTTGATTTGAGAGCTGCAGGGAGTGGGGGCATGAACTAGGCAATGGGTATGGAGAAGCAGGTGGAATGTACCTGGCGGAGGGATCTGCTGGTGCTGAGGCCTGTAGCCATGGGCACATTATAGGTGAGGCTGGGCAGTTGGCAGGGCCCACCCCATGCATGACCTGATCGTCCACAGTGAGAAGTTGAGCTTTACCCCAAGAGCCATGAGAGCCATGGAAGGGTGAAGCACAGTGGCGAGATCGGCCTGCAGCCTGGTGAGACTGGCCGAGGCTGTGGACATCGTCATCCGGGCAACAGCCGGTGGGGCTTGAGACAGGAATCACAGGAGGCAGCAAGTGGATTCCAGGAATACATAAAACCAGGATCTGGGGGTGGTTTGGAGAGGCAGTCTAGTCGACTCCCAGGTGTCTGGCGTGTGCGTGTAGCTGGAAGGGAGCCTGATTTAGAGGGAAAGACTTGAAGGACATGTTGAGTGTGAAATGCCTGTGAAACATGTAGAACTTCTACTTTTCAGGGAACATGTAGAACTACTTTTCAGGGAAGGGGAAATAATCCAAGGGTATATCAACAGAGGAATGGTGTGAAAATGAAGGAGGGGATAATTGTATTCTCTCCATGCACTGGCCTGACCACAGCCAAGTAGGAGAGTGAGGGACCTGTAGTGATATCCCACGAGGAATGATAGAGAATACCGAATTGTCCAGGATGGCAAAGAGATGGCAGAGGGGCAGGTGAGGGACACGGAAGACAAAGGGAGTGGCGTGTTCTCTGGGGGCCCTGAGAGACTGCCGTGGGATCTGTATGTACCTGCTTTAGGAACACAGTTTTCAGCTTCTAAGTACAAGCATTTGGTCATCAGAGCTATCCAAAAATGAGACAGGCTCCAGTGGGAGTGGTGAGCTTCCTGTCCTGAGAGGTGTGTAAGTAGAGGCAGGAATGGTATGGAAAGGATCCCAGCTTCCAGTGGAGAGCTAAGGTCTTGGAAAGTCCTATCAACACTCAGTTCTTTGCATCTCCTCTGCTGCTAAAGTGAGCACAGGGCATGTTACACACTTCCTCTCCCTCACCTTCTCCGACTTGCCCAGATGTCTTGGTTGTTATTCACAGCACTTCCCCAGAAAACCACATCAGTGAGCTGTACCACAAGCCCTTCCCTGCCCCTGGCCCCTCTCATCTGTAAGCGGGACTGAGTGGGACGAGAACCTCCTACCTACCAGAGGCAGCCTAGCCTAGTGGTTCCTGACAAATTCAAACCTAGCAACTAGCTGTATGACCTTGGGCAAACTTGGCCTCCCTGGGTTTATGTCCTCATCTGTAAAGTGAAGATAATAATAGCAAATAAAGTGCTATACCTGACTATTGGAGGCACCCCTCCCAGTATACTGAGTACCTTCTGTGAGCCAGGACCGTTCTTGACATGACTGGGAACAAACCAGAGGAAAACCTCCTGCCCTTGTGAAGCTTACATTTTATTGGGAAAAGAGAGGCAGAAGAAATTGCTACATGTAATAAACGAAACCTGTTTTAGCAAGAGATTCCCAACAAGTGACCTGCCTGGGAATCAGGGACCTGAGCAGCACGTCCCAAACTGTGGCAGAGCAATGTCTATTACAGCTGGAGTACCTGGGGCATAGACAGTGTGACTCCCTTGGGCTGGGAGCGTGGGGTCAAAGGAGATGATACTTGAAAGTTATAGGGACTCAGCCATCTGAGTGCTTATCCTATCAGTGCCCCAAACTTCCTCTTTGACCCTGGGCAAGTCACTTAGTTGTTCACATGTTGAGACGCATGCTGTGTGCTAAGGATCTTAGTGAGCTGAGAAAGGTTCCCGCCAGCCCTCCCCCTTCCCCGGGTCTTATTGTGTAGTGTGGGCATCAGGCAGGAAGTAAGTAAAATAACAAGAGAGAAAAGTGTTCTAAAGAAAATGAAACAGGATGACAGGGCAGAGAATGTCTTGGGGGAGGGGATGACCAGGGAGGGGCCTCTCTGAGGAGGCTGTATCGAAGCTGAGGCCTGAAAGACAAGAAGGACCTGGGCAGAATCTTCCAGAAAGAGGGCACTTCAGGTGCTAGAAGTTCTGGGGAAGACAGGTGCCTGGACGGCCCTGTGAAGTGCCTACAGGTGCCAGCACATTACCACTCAATGCCTGTTGGCTACTGTTATATGTTACTGACCATTCCTGGTTATTTTGAAGTCTATTAGACAATTATAAAAACACTTTATGAAATGAGTGAAAATGCAGAATTGTGTCTACACTGTGCCTTCATGGATGTGTAAACTCTCTTTATTTGTATTTCCTTTGGAGGGGTGGGATGATGAGGGAAGATCTTTCTTTTCAAATCTCCTAGAGTTGCCCTTGTTACCTGGTTGGTATAGTCCAGCAGTTCTCAACCTGTGGGTCGCGACCCCTTTGGGGGTCGAACGATTCTTTCACAGGGGTCGCCTAAGACCATCGGAAAACAAAAAGATATTTACATTACGATTCATCACAGTAGCAAAATTACAGTTATAGAGTAGCAACAAAAATAATTTTATGGTTGGGGGTCACCACAACATGAGGAACTGTATTAAGGGATCGCAGCATTAGGAAGGTTGAGAACCGCTGTTATAGTCCATCACCCTTGTCCTGCAGAACCTCGGAGGTTGGCCGGAAGCGGAAGGCAGAGGAGGATGCAGCACTGCAGGCCAAGAAGACCCGTGTGTCAGACCCCATTAGCAGCTCGGAGAGCTCAGAGGAGGAGGAGGAAGAGGCAGAAGCTGAAACCGCCAAAGCCAGTAAGAGCCCTGCTTGCTGGGCCCCCATGATTGGTGCTTGTGGGGGCTCAGCCCAGGGCCCGGCCCCTTTTGGGAACAGGCTGTTAGATATTGGGTCATCCCGGGGGAGCCCACCTTCAGCTTCATCACTGAGCCCTGGGAAGACCAGGACCTTTAAGGGGGAAGATCGGAAGGGCCTACATACCTATTTCAGTATTTATTTGAGCCCTTCCTCGTGCCAAACATTGTGTCCCCAGTTGCTGGGGATCCGATGATAAAAAAAAAAAACCCCAGACAAGCCCTTAACAATGAAATTTGGGGCCCAAGAGCTGCATTTTTACAAGTCCCCAGCTGATTGCAATAAAAGTGGAAGGAAGCCCACATTTTCAGAACTGCTAGGTTTCGGAGAGGGCAGCTGGTGGGCCCCTCTTCTGTGTGGCCCATGGGCTGCTTCCGGAGTTGCTGATCCTGTCATTTTGGACATGTACAAGTAAGTCTTGGGCATTCTGGTTTCACAGCCTTGGCGGGGGTGACCCATGAGGCCTTCACACCTCCTCTCCCCAGATTCTCAGGGCTGTGTGTGCTTTCACCAACAGTAGTCGTAATTCCACAGAGGAATGGTCATTCTTCTCTGCACTGTGTTGTTTTTGCTTATGTAGAAAGTAAAATGTCTTAACTTTTAAATATATCTTCTGATTGTAAAAGAAATATAGGATATATTATGGAGCATTCATTATAAAATATATGCAAATTACTTTTTTAAAAGGCAGGAAAAAGTTACCCATATTCTTGCCACCTACAGTTTGGCAAATTATTCTTACATTTATTTTTCCTGAGCGTGCTTTTAAAATATTTGCAATCATACTGAATATATATATTCTGCATCTTGCTTAATCTTAAAATTACAAATGCAAAATGAGTTCACTTTGAACCGTACAAAAGCATTTAGAAGAAAAATGGGAGATTCCTCTTCTACCCTGCTCCTTTTTCACCCCCTAAAAGTATCTCTTGGCAGGTGACCCTAAAAGTTTCTCCTTTGCGGGTACAGCCATACAGATAGCCACCCATACATACATACATGACAAAATGTGATCAAACAATATGGTGAATGTTTAAATAAAAAATTTTTATTATAGTAAAAGACACATTGCCATTAATCTCCTTCAAAAGACTCCCCCTTGCTTCGAACACACTTATCCCATCATTCTTGCCACATTCTAAAATGGTTCGGGAAGTCCTTTTTCATGAGTGTCTTTAGTTGCACTGTCATGGCTGCCTCGACGTCCTGAGTCATTTTGACTTAGGGGAAGAGACAGAAATCGCACGGTGCCAGATCCAGTGAATTAGGTGGATGAGGACACACTGTAATGTTTTTATTTGACAGAAATTGCCGTACCAGAAGCAATGTGTGACATGGGACGTTGTCATGATGGAAGATGATTTACAGCACAGTTTAAAACACACCTTCTCTCAACAGTAGCTCATACCTGACTGACTGCACCAAACAAGTTGAAACTTGTCAAACACTGTTACTAAGGTTTAACACACAGCTTCCCATATTAAAGATCCCTGCCTTTCCATTGGATCGCACTCAGCAGCAGCATTCACCATATTTGTTGATCACAATGGAAAGGCTCCATATCATACACCACTCTGGTATGGCAATTTCTGTCAAATAAAAACATTATGGTGTATCCTCATCTGCCTTATTCACCAGATCTGGCACTGTGCGACTTCTGGCTCTTCCCCAAAGTCAAGATGACCATGAAAGTTAAATGTTTTGAATCGATTCAGGACATCGAGGCAGCCACGACAGTGCAACTAAAGACACTCATGAAAGAGGACTTCCAGAACTGCTTCAGAAAGTGGCAAGAACTATGGGATAAGTTTGTTAGAAGCAAGTGGGGAGTATTTTGAGGGGGGTTAATGGCAATATATCTTACTATAATAAATTTTTAAAAATTTAAACATTCACTGTATTTTTTTATCACGACTCGTACATATCTACATACTATTTAAAAGTAAAATTGTAAAATTTCTTGCTACTCGATATTAATGAATTTTTAAAGCTGTGATAATGGAATCATAATTCTTTTAAAAAGAGTCCTCATTGAGAGAAACATACTGAAATACACATGGGCACATGATATGATGTCTGGAATTTTCTTCATAGTAATACTCATTGGGGAAGGGCGAGTGAGAGGACAACTGAAATAAAATTGGCCCCAAGTTGATAATGTTTGGAACTGGGTGGTTCAGCATATACTTCCTCTCTACTTAGGAATGTGCTTAAAATTTTCCATAATTAAAAAAAGAGATGGAGTTAAATGCCAGGAAAAGAATTAGATCGTGCCATCTTTATTTTGCTGCATATCTTAGAAATCTTTTTCTGTCTGAGATTGAAGGAGATGTAAAAGCACTAAGAATCTAGAAATCGCACCATCTAACTGGGTTGTGGTCTCATGGTTCAGCTACCTCCCCACTAAGAAGCCATTTAAATTCCGAGCAGCTTTCTCTGCGGACCTGGGGCGGGCCATCTGACCACTGGCCCCTGTCTTGCTGAGCGACTTTCAGGGCTCCGTGGCAGCCTGTGGGAATGGCACCCCCTGGAGTTGTGCAGTGCCTGCATGGTAGCATGTGGCAGGACCATGGGCCGGTCCTTTTCCTCTGGGGGGCTCCAGCATCTCATGCCACCAGGGAGTTGTGACTCCATCACGGATGCAGACGTGGAGATTTCGTGTTGCTCCTCTCCCTCCCTCCCTCACCTGGACGTGGCTAATGCACCACAGAGCTCTTTCCCCCAGTCTGGGCACGGCCCCAGATCCTTATCCAGCACTAGGCAGCCACACCAGTTCAACTGTTAGGTGAGCTGAAGCCTGTCTGCTATTCTTAGGTGAGAAAAAGCTCACCTGGTTCATCCAGTGGGTGTTTGTGTCTTGCAGCCCCAAGACTGGCATCTACCAACTCCTCAGTCGTGGGGGCAGTATTGCCATCCAACATGAAAGAAAAAGCCAAGGTGAGTGGGACCGTGTTCCAAGCTCTTACCTGTGGGAGTTGCAGTGCTCTGTAGAGGACAGTCCCCTGTGTCAGAGAAGGACAGGGTTGTGCATATTGCTCAACCTGGACTCAAGTCGCAGCCTAAGTCACCAGCTGTGTGACCTGGGTGAGTCTTTACCTCTCTGGGCCTCGGTTTCCTTTTCTGTAAGATGGGGTGATGCCAACTGCCATGGGCCACTGGGCACCTTATGCATGTGGAACAGACGGCTTCTCTTCATCCCTGCAGTCACCAGTTCACTCTGCAAATCTGTGCCGATACCGTTACGTTCCGGGCACTGTGAGGCAGTAAGACACTGTAATGAATAAGACATTTGTGTTTCTGAAAGCTCTAAAAGCATTTTCTAGACTGGAAACTACTTAGAAAGGAGAGTATCGTTTTCTGGTAATCCATAAAGCAGTGTTACAGACGTGTAAAGGATTGTGTCCCTGAAATTGCCTGGAGCGTAAGCAACAATGTGTAAAAATATAATTTCGGAGTAGTGACGATAATTACAAGAAACTGCTACTTACCACTTAGCAAGTAACAACTGTGTCCCAGTAAGGGAGACACCATTTTTAGCCTCACTTTAAAGATGAAGAACAGAGACCTAGGGAGGTAATTTACCCAGACTCACACAGCTAGGAAGTGGTAGAGCTGGGTTCAGATGGGGTCTGTGTTCTTAGTTCACTAGGCCATACCCAAGTGTGTCTGTCACTTGTTCCCTATAGGCAAAGGCCAAGCAAGTCAACAAGACAGTGAACTCCACACCACACCCTGCCTCAGGGAAGGCAGTGGCCCACGCCCCCTCTGGGAAGTCACCCAAAAAGTCAGCAGGGCCCTCAGCAAATACCATCCTGTTCATAGAAAGTGAGGAGGAGAGCAGCGTCCCGGCCCTCGGAACCACTGCCAAGCCTGGTGAGAAGCCCCCTGGGTATGGGCAGGTGGGGTGGGAGGCAGGCCTGGGTACTGCTTTGTCAAGCCCTGGGACACTCTGGAATTCAGAGGCTTATCTCTATGACAATGAGGGCCCCCCACTTCAGACCAATTCCCCACCCCCTTGATGAGGGAGAGTCGGCTGCAGGGACATGTCAGGCTTTGCCGAGGGAGTTGAGCACCCTGGGTGGTGGTGGAGCATCTTCTGTTTGTTGCTCTCAGGTTGATAAAGGGCCCGCCTCGGAGGCTTATTGGTGTACAGTAGGCATTTGCCCTACCTTTCACAGTGTGATGGTGGAAGGAGACTTTCTAAGCCATCAGATGCTGGCGCATGTGTATTAGGACCTATTATAGTCCTTCCCAGGGCCTCAGAACTGTGCAGGAACGTAGAGATACTAGTGGTACACACCTCAACTGTGGTGTTTCAAGAAAACAAGCTGAAGCAAGGCACGCGCGTTCAGCACCTGGCTCTGATGAGTTGGCATGGCGGAGTGCGGGCGGGTCTGGAAAGGGTGGCCCTCAGTGCCTTCCCTGTTCATCCCTCAGGAGTGGCATCGGCGGGCCAGATCGACAGCGCCAGCGAGGACACCTCCAGCTTGAGCGATGAGACAGACGTGGAGGTAATTGGCACCATCCTCAGGAGTTGCTCTCCGCAAACCTTGAACCCTCCCAGGAGCCTGGCTTCACAGACGAGTGGGAGCAGATCAGCTCAGCGAGTGCTTCAGGGTGACTGGGAGCTGGAAAGGCTGAGGCCTGGAGAGGGGAGAGGAGCCGGATGCCGCTCATTGCACTCTGGGTGTGAGAAAGGTCGGCAGAGACGCCATCCTGCCTGTGAGGCAAAGGAAGGCTTCCTGGAGAGAGGTGGCATTCGGGCGGGGTCTTGGTACACAAGGGCCTTCACCAGGAAGGGGATGTAGGATGTAGGAGGAGGGTGTTCAAGCAGAAAGCTGCACCAAGGCCCAGGGACAGGAGGGTGGCCGTCCCGTGGTGTGGTCAGAGGGAATGGGCTGAGGCCACTGAGGGGGCTCAGGGCCCACTGGCAGACGCCAGGCCTGGACATTTGGCCAGAGATGGGCAGGTTTTCGCCTGTGGCCTTGTCTCTTCTCTGAACTGGGACCAGGGAGTCGTGTCTTACTGTGTATCTGCCGAAAGCCAGGCCTTAGGTACAGTGGTAAGCGAGATGGTGCGGTTCCTGCTGTGTGGGGAGGTGGAGGGTCCCTCAGAAGTTACAGCGGCGATGGTTACTGTGAAGGGAAAGGTAGAGCGCCATGGGGGGCAGTGACAGGAGCGTGATGTAGACAGAGGGACAGCATGGGCAGAGACGGACAGAGAGCTTGGTGCTTCCAAGGAACATTGATCTACAGTTCATGAAAGGGGTGGGGGAGTGATGTAAAACAAGGACAGAGGAGCCAGGAGCCGGCTCTGCCGCCTGTCCGCGGGGACCACCAGGAGGATAGGAGTTCAGGTCGTATTCTCCATGCTGCGAGAAGCCTTCGTAGGGTTTCGGGGGTAGGTAAGATGGCCTGATGTATGTTTCATGAAGTTCATGGGTTGTGGCCTGGACTGGAGGACAGAATGCAGGTGGCGAGACTGTGGAGGGACTGGATGCTGGCAGGAGATGCTGGCGCCAGTGCGCCCAGTGGAAAGAGGTTGGGAGGGAGAACCAGCAGGATTCAGGAATGGGTTGATATGGTGCCTGGAGTACTTCCCACCTCTCCTGCCTCACCCAGTCACCCATGAAGGTGGAGACGTCACCCCTGTCAACCCCAGGCCTGCTGCAAGTACTCCCCACATTCTGTCCCCCACCTTCGGGCCCTAGATACAGCCAGCCATAAGGACGCCTTGGGAAACCAGCAGTTAAACACTCAGCTCAGTGGGCCAGAGGCCAGTGCAGGGCTCTAGCAGCAGTAAGGAAGAGTGAGACTAGGAGATGGTTACCCCAAAAACCCAGGGTCAGGTGAGGTCTCACTGATAAGGGGTTGAGGTAGGGGACTACTTG